ACGTGTGCTCTTCCGACCGTTTTTTTAGCACCAACTGATAATATCTAAATTCATCTATTTATGTGACCTCAAAGTGTACCAAGTTTCGTTAAAATCAGAATTTGACACTTCGCAAGGTTCCCTTGTAAGCTTTGAGTAACATAGGTGCTTACTACTCGTGATGACGGTTTCCATCTCATCGAGCATCCGCAACAGTGTACTAGCGAACGCTTTACTGTTAGTCGAAAGGAGAGACTTGTGTCTTGTCGTGCAGTTGATTAGCAACTTCACCGAAGAACGCACGTACATTTGTCTCTTCTTTAGGGTGGTGGGATGAAAATGTTTCACAGTAGGATCATAAGCCGCTGCTATCTTCAGCAAGCTGTATATCAAATTATTTTATATTCGGATGTGATATTGGTTCTTACGTTGTGAATACATTATGAATTAAACTCACTTATTGACGGCCGCATCGATAGGATGAGTTTGATCTTTGCCCAGGCATAGAATCACTTTGGGATCGCAACTCATTACATGCCAATTAATCACCTGGTCGTATGCTGCGGCGTCGATTAAATGCCAGGAGAAGCTCTCGGCTTCCGTAACTAACTGCACCGCTTTCTCATTCTGAAACATTGTTTGAATTAGGGCTGTTACTTTTTACTCACTTCGAATATTCGAAGCTTGGACGTTAACTTCGACCTTTCGAAATTTAAGGTGCCTTCGAATCTTCGAAGTTTCAAAGTTTTGAAAAATACATTAAAAATTTGAATCTTCTTAATTGGATTGTTTTATTAGTCATTATCTTTCCTGATTTGCACATGTATCAAGTTTAATTATTAATTTGTAATATTTCAAATATTTCAGGTATTTCAGGTATAATACTGTCAAATTTTGTAGGAATAATTTCGTATATATGTATTAATTCTTTTTATTTACAATATTTGTAAATTTTCTGAATAAATTTATCATTTGCACAAATGTATTTTTCGAAACTTCGAAAGAGTTCGAAGATTTTAATACAGAAGCTTCGAAGTCCGAATGTCGAAGCTTTCGAAGCAAATCATCGGTCCTAGTTTGAATTAACTTAAGTTCTATTTTTCTGTCAGTAAATGCTTTACTGAGTTTATATTTTATATCTGTCAATCTTGAAAATTAGATTCTCCTATCTCTTCTACTTCGTTTATTTCTCAAATTTTAGAGTTTTACTCTCTTCTCTCTAACCTGTCTGACGTTTGGCTCATTAGACAGCTTCACCAGCAAATTCAGCAGACAAACATGCATCCTGGCGGCGACTGGCAACAGTTGCGTGGCCATCAACTCGCTGATCCAGGCAGACCAATTAACCCAGGTGAAGATACTCCCGAGGAACAGGTGACAGTCCGGCAGATACTGATCGATAACTCTGATCATTAATTCGACATCATTGATGGCGGGGCAGAAGCGATCCCAAGGAAGAGATAACAAGTTACCATGCACAACGTTCAGCACATGGTCCTTGACGGATGCGTGAGCATAGTTGGCCACATAGAATTGCCATACAAAGCTGAGAATCTTGCTGGATGCTGGCATAGTGTCGATGATGAAACGAACGCACTCGGCAAACATCGCCATCGTACGGTTTGCGTAAGGACCGTCGGTGATAATCCACGGTAGCAGCACCGACCTGTCGTCCGTCAATTGCTGGATCCACGCGGCCGTCGGCTCCCGCAGGTTCCTTGTCCAGTATGGAGTGATCCACGGTGCATACATCTCGCTCAACACCGGCCAGATCTTCTCGCACACTGACAGATCATGCGATAGTTTTTTTTTTTTAGATGTGATTATAGTTTTTATATTCAAATATATAGCTGTAAGACTATTTAAGATTTTTGAAATTTAAGATTCCAAAAAAGATATTTGAACAAAATTTGGCTCGTTATTGTTATACAATAACTAAAAAGAAGTCAACGGTCAAGGATTTGAAGATTAAATTAATGCGATTGAGAAAGTCCAAGGATCAAAACTAGTTTCGTTTTATGATTTTGTGTTAGAAAAGTGATAATAAATTATTTAACACCTGTAAATTTTTGCTCGTCTTTGACCGTTGACTCCTTTTTATTTAAGATATTTAAAATTTTAAGATTCCAGAAAAATATCTGCCTACATTGATCAGCAAGCGATCCTCGATCAGCCTGCAACGTCAATACGACTAGAGCGTGGCCGACCATACCCAAAAATATAGTCAACGGCTCATTGTAGCTTCTATACTTCGGATAAAGTCCGTACAATCCATACTGCAATCTCTCTTTCATGAAATGTCGGCTTAGAAGCACAGCGGTGTCGTGCATCTGAAATCGCACGAAAAGTATCATGAAGCCTGATGCTAAGTTTTATTATCACGTGTAAAACATGAGATGTTTCTTTTTGTACGCGCATAATCGTTTCTGGTGACAAAACTATTTGTGGAATCGGACCTCTTGGCGAGACAACAGCCTCTGTTCCGTAGCATAGTGCCTGATCTCGTCTCTAATCTTGGGAGGATTTTGAGATGGCGCGATATTCTTCGGCTTGCCGCTGAGAGCTCCCAACAAATCACGCCACACATCCAAAGACAAATTCTGACTCTCGGATCCTCTCAACACCGCACTCAATACTTCACCATAGTGTTCGGGGAATTCGTGCAGAAGAATAAGTCGCAGGTGGTTTCGGAACAGCTGCGTCAATAATCATAATTTTATCTACGTTTTTCTTTAAATAGATAAATGTAACAATATTTCGATCTAATTGAAGTTTAAGTTATCAGATCCAACATTTGGGACGAAGGATTGAAGAGGATACTCACTTCATGCAGCATCAGCTTTTCCTCTTCGGGATTCAAACCGATGTTACATAACGCCCTAGAAACTAGATCTATAAAGGTGGATCTTTCGCTCAATCGGGGACGACGATAGTTTAACCAGCTGCCAACATCAAACTGTAACAGAGACGATAATGATCCAATGGTCGCAATCGAAGATGATAATTTAGTTCGATTCTATTCACTTTCGAGAGCAGTACGAAGCATAAATCAACATTGGATCCGGTGGACAAGTCCACGACGGTTTGATACATCTGCAAGAATGTGGTGGCTCCCCCGGCGACAGGAGTGAAGTGCGGTCCCAACAGACCTCCGAGATTAGGCCTCTGGATTATGGTACTTAATAATTGTGGACCCTGAACTTCCTCGCCGCTAATAAACAACTGAAAACAATAGTAATTCTAAATGTGCAAGAAACATTTTTATTAAAGCAGTTATTCGGTATATATTTAGATTCAGTGTTTCTTGTGTTTCATAAATTCGTAACGCTAAATTAGTGCGGCAATTCGTCGTTTGTTTGTTTCAATTTTGTTCTATGAGATCTCGTACGCAGTTAAAAAAAAGAATAGATAAATACATGCACTCTCTGGCTTTGTTATTAGACACACATCATAATTTTTATTGACTTCCGATGATTAAATTTGTATTATAATTCATTTATCATTGTTGCAATCAATTAAAATGTAAAGAAAATATTAGTTGTCTATAAAATGCATTTATTTTATTGAATGTCACTTATTTGTTACAATGAAATATAAATATGCGGTTGTGGAGATAGCAAAAAAAACGCCCGCGTTTTCTGTTTCTATTGTAGAAATTCATTATATGTATTTGTTCACAATTAACTTTAATATAAATATTACATAACATTATTATTAAAATCAAGACTTTAATAGCCGTCAATAATGATTAACAAAATATTTAAAAAAACATGTTTTTATTTTAAAATTAAATAAAATTAAATAAATATTTGATAATAAATATTTGTTACGAAAACTGTGTTTTTATTAATTGAGAATGTTCAAACAAAAGAAAAGACTATACTTTAAAAATGTAAAAATAAAAATACTTATCGTTTTCAAACACTCAAGATAAATAAAAAAATCCGTGTCTAGTAATATAGTCAGAGATTGTAATTTATAATTGGAAATTTATCTTTCTTACAAACAAATATTGAAATTTTACACATTAATTATATAAAATTTAATTAATAATAATAATATATAATTTTTAATAAGAATATATGTACCTGGCCTAATTTTTCCAAACAAGTAGTAATAAGTTGCTTTGTGGGAGGGCATAGTGCTGCTTCTTCTGTATAGAATTCTACTAGGTGATAAAATAGCTTAACTCCGCTTTCTTGTACCTTGCGCAATACGGCAGTGTTTTCGTTAGTGCGACTGACAGTTAACTCGTGCTCCAATATCCTGATGAACGAGATAAGACTTGAAAAATATGATCGTGCAACTTTTGTTTTGCTACTATCAATAACTTTAATTAATAAAACTTGAAATAATACATATTAAGATGCTTAGCGCGCACATATTATAGGAATAAAATTAAAATTAATCAATCGGTTAAATTGCTTACGCAATCAAATGATCAGTAAAAACGCAGCCCAAGGTGACCTTACTGGGTGGCGGTTGACTAGCTTTTACTAAAAGATTCTCATACTCGGCCCGGTTCTGAGTTATCATATGGTCCACGCCTTCACTAACGTGAGCTTCTTCAACCTACAAAAAATATAAAAATTTTTCTGAAAACCGACTTAAAAATTTTATTTGTAATTCAGATAAAGACTATTATTTAAAAAATATATATCTATATATTTATAAATCTTTTAACATTTTGACTGCCATATCCATGTTTGGGTGAATAGCAGGTAAATTTCCACAAAAATCTTCAGATCCATTTGTGGGTAATAATTATTTATCCGATTAAGGCCCCTGCTTAGTCACTGCGACCATATTGGACTCGTGACGTCTTAAAACGAGAAACAGCTAGAAATGACACATAAAAGTTTGTTGCGTGCCATTTTTAAATAAAGAGGATTTGGATAAAATTAATAAATAGGATCGCTTTAGAAAACTAGTAAAAATGAATGAAAACTATCCTTTTTCCCTCTGAAAGTCAGTAAATAGCCGTAAAAGACATGCAGAGTGAAGCTTATTTAGACAAGAAAACTCACGACTTGACAGCTGTTGAAAGGAATGAAAAAGATACTTTTACGTATAAAATTTGACAATAACTATAGTTTTCATCCATTTTTACGACTTTGATAAATACGAGACAAGTCACATTTTCACAATTAAACACATAATAACGAAATGGCACGCAACACAAAATTCGTTGTCAACACTTTTCACAGTAGGTCCGTTATTTTCTTCAAGTCGAGTATTCTCTTCATATTCGACTGTGATTAATCAATTTTACACTGCTTACGACATACAATATATTCTGTAGAATTATCACGATTTATGACTTAAAACACATATGACATATTATAGAACGGGCCTAGTATGACAAAGAAGCTTCTAATTTCGCGATATAGCGTCGCCACCGTCAACGCGGAGTTTGTGGCTGACTAGGCAGGGCCCTTAAATACAATTTTACTAAGTATTTAAGACATTAAAGAAACAACATAAATTATATTAAAAAGAAATAAAGTGTCAAAATAATAAGCTAAATTTGTTAATGTCGAAATCAGTCAAAGTGTTAATATTTAATATTATTTACTGTGATCTCGATGATCGCCGGGCCTGCACAATGTACTGTGGGAGGCGTGCCCGATCTAGAGCGTCTCTGGTTGGATGGCGAAGGATCGCAGAGAGCGTGCAAGGTAACGTGATTCTCGTACGTCCGATAGAGAGTTGGGACTAGTTCAAGGAAGCTGCAGTCCGCCGCGGTGTGTTCAGATACCATGAGACTGTAGGTCTGTGCATAGTCAAGGATGACTCTGAGATGCGGTTTGACTAGGTCAATAACAGCAGAGGAATTGTAGATGCTTTCTCTGGCCACGGAGCCCAACACTGGTTGACTTCGGCTCAAAGGCGGTGGCGAAATCGGCGGCTCATAGGAGCTTAGCCTACGGAAGATTCTGGAAAGAGGATCAATCGATTCCACGGCGTTTGAGGGTTGAGAGAACTTCTGGTACTGATTTTCGGGATCGCGGAATGTTGCGCGCTCCCACTCGCAAACGGCCTTGAGCTGGCTCTGCTGCACCGCCCAATAGTCGACATATTCCAGCCAGAGAGTCTGAAAGTTAGAAATTAGTATTATTATATTAATATTATTGTGAATGGTATTGCTACAGAAAATTGTATGTGATTTGAGACGATTCACTTACTCGATCTCCTTGCACCAATAGAATTAGCCTCTGCGACATGTACTGCGGTGGCAGGGCTGGAAGATAAAGACCCGGTTCCTGAAGACGAGGCTCTTCTAACCAAAGACTTAACGTTTTATAAAACCTGCGATAAATATTTTTTTATAAGATATATTTTCAAGATATTTCATTCTTTCTATATATACGAGGGGCGGTTGATAAGTAGTCGGCCTGACATAGAAATGGCACCGGAAGTGTCAAATAGCAATGATTTTTCTTAAGTTTGATCTTTCAGAGGTCTACTGAAAAAGTTTCAGACAAATGCGATTAGCAGTTTGTCTCTTGTGTCGAGTAAAGCAAATAAGTTTTGGTGTTTCTCGAAAAATGGATAAAATTGAATGTCTGCAATTGCAAAAATTACTCCATAAAAATCACTGGGAGGAGGGAAGGGGCTAAATCTGGTAAGTACGGTACATGTGGCAGCAATTCGAAGCGCAACTCATGGAGTCTTGCGACTGCAATTGCGAATGCATTTCTGATTGATCGTTAGCAAACGCGGCATCCATCGCGCTGAAAGCTTTTTCATGTGCACATGAAACGTTTCGTGTAAGATGTTATAAACGATCTATTGAGATGTTTACAATGCCAGCAAGATGACGCACTTTCACTCGTCGATCATTTAATACGGCATTATGAATTTTTTCGATGATTTCTTCAGTTGTAGCGGTTTTTGGGTGTCCTGAATGTTGGATGAACGACCACGTTTAAATTCAGCAGCCCATTTTTTCACTGTTGGAAACGATAGTGAAGAGTCTCCCAAATCCAGATCGTTTTTTATCTCCGTTGGCGTTAAATCTTTCAAAACGAAGTATTTTATCGCTACGCGATATTTAATTTTATACATTTTTTGAGAAACTTGTTTATTTTACACGACACTTATCGCATCTGTCTGAAACTTTTTCGGTAGGCCTCTGAAGGATCAAACTTAAGAAAAATCATTTGACACTCTCGGTGCTATGTCTCGGTTTCTGTCAGGCCGACTACTTAACTCAACCGCCCCTCGTATACATTCACCTACTTTGCAGCACTGAGATAAAATACACGTCGCTCGTCTGTGATTGGTTTTCCATTGTCCGTGTCCTTTTCTCCTTTCACTTGAAAATACTCTGTCGTTTCGTGAAGTCGTTTTTTTAACTTTTTCAAGTAGCTCAGATTTATCATCCCTTCAAAAAATTTTTCTCCAACCCCACCTTTATCCATGGATCTAGAACAATTAAAAAGAAATTGTACATGCTTTTGAATGTTTTTGTTTTCAGATAAAAATTATATGATATAAAGGAGGTCTAAAATAATGATAAAATAAGTTTTCGCAAAAATCGATTTTTTTAAAGAGATCTTTGCATAAAGCTTATTTTCATTTTTTTAAATACAATTATATAATTTAATTTCCTTAGTTTTTCTGCAAAAATATTAAAGTAAATTTTTTTTCAAAAAATCAATTATTTTTTTAAGATATTTTATATTTTATTCTGGCACATTTTGATATCAAGTATAAAATATCTCGTAAACTATTCATTTTTTGGCAACTGCGCCTAAATACTTTTATGCATAGCATTATGTAAATCAAATAATGTAAAGAAAACATATGGTTACTTTTCAAAAAATTATGTAAATTACAAATATACGAGTACATATCTTTTTCAAAAAGCAACTATGTTTCTACACCAACACTAATCTATCTTGTGTTGTGCACAGAAGAATTAAAGTACAGTGGCTAAAAATGAATAGTTTACGAAATATTTTATATAGATTCAAAATATTTTATACTTTATGTCCAAATGTACTAAAAGAAACACGTTATAATGAATCCGTTTATAATGGATCATCCCATATATAGATATATTGCAGAATTATTATTCTGTTAAGGTAATAATAATCACCCTGGGATAGTAGGTGCCCTTGCAAGAAACAGACTGAAGAAATTTTGCCACAAGAGTGGCAGAATTGGATGATCCATTGGTGTATCAAGAGCTTGCTGAGACCAGCGATAAATAGCCAGGTTGTTTACTCCAAACGGAGTCATCTTCACTGTTGTGCAGGCTCTCTGGAAAAAAATTTCGTAATAGATATAATTTTATAGTTCGTTTAACTTAGTTATACTTGAATAGATTGATTTTAAACCTTGAGAGCAGTGTCTAAAGATATCTTGGATTGCATGGACAGTTCTCGCAAAATCTCGCGCCACAGCCCGGTCTTAAGCTCCCTATCGTACTGCTCTGTCGACAGGATCTGATAAGCAAGCCATATCGTCTGAACGGTTCCACCAAGAAGGCTTGCCGAGCTAGAAGATCCAGTTGCCCAGCTCAGAAATGATCCAAACGATCCCGGTGTCCGATTGGATGATATATTCTATGAATTGCATATCCAAATACATTGTTAAATGTACCTATGTAATATAAATACGTTAATGGCAGCCCAAAAATTTATAATATTTCTATTGAACCACATATATAAGATCGTAAAATGTCAAATAAAAAAGAAAAAACATGATTACTTGCGTAATCAAAACTGTAATCTGCAACATTTCAATTTTACAAAAATTATAAACGTCATAAATTTTTTTAACTACCAGTGTAAATATATAATATATAACTGATTAATTTGGTTCATTAATATAAGAAAATAAAATAGATCAATTATTTTTTATGTATCATACCTCATTACTTCCTTCAAGAGCAGGCTAATAAAACAAACATTTCTCACGTTACAATAAAACAATTATAATTTTTACAATAAAAAATTACAATTGTTTAATTTTTTATAACACAGCTGTACGGACTTTCTATTCTAAAATTCTAAAATATTATATACATGATATAATATGATCAGATTGTTAAAACTTACGCAGAAGAAATTCTGGAACATGTTTTCCATCATCGCTCTCGCTTCTAAGTGAAAGAACGCCGTACGGATCACACTGTCCATCAAGTACATAACATTGTGATCTTTGTTCCAATCTTGGACAAGTACTAACACATTCAGCCATAAATGCACAAAACGTTCTGGACTGTTCAAGCAATACCTGCTTGAACAATGTATAAAAAATTGATTAATATATAAAAATAATTATATTTTTAAATGTCTATAATTATTAATCCATTCTTTAGTTTATATTTATATTTTATACTGTATAATTTTTATATAATATATTTTAGTTTCTTTTGACATATTGTTAATATTTTAGTTTCTTCTTTAGAAAAAAAGATTTTATTTTTCTTAATTTTATATTTTCTTGTTATTTCGAAATACATTTTAATTCACACCTACCGTTTATAATGATGCAAGTGAGATTCGATCATGTTAGAGAACTGCCTGAGGATTGGACCAGGAAATTCTGGGGCGATCAGATTCTTTGCTATCTTCATGTACGTTCGGTCGGCATTGATAAGCGGCACGATCAGACTAACAAATTTGTCGTTCTTCAGCAAGGAATCCGGACAATCGAGAAACAACGGTATCACATGATGCAGACATATCAGCACTTGCTCGTATTTGTAGTAGCACTGTAAAATCTGCAGCTGGCTGAAACCCTCGACGCAGATCAGCGGTACCGAGTGACCCCACAGTGTCATCAACACAGAGACATAGCTGGCGATCGGCTGCCTCTCGCGTACACCCTTCGCCAGAATCTCCAAGAAGGAGTCCGACTCCATGTTAGGCACGCAAGAGAGACCCTCGGCCGGATTTGAGATGGTATATTGACACACGGATTTCGATCGGTCCAACTGGTGCAGCTTCAGCCTATTCATCATCTCCCACGCCCACAAGCTAAACGCTTGTTCGCTGTTCTGAGGTCGTACTATTGAAGAAACCTGAAACAAAATAAAAAAATAAACTTGAGTTTTTACTTATCATTAACAAACGTGTTTTGTCAATAATATGGCAATATAATTATTCTCAATCATAAAATACTATAATATCTAACTAGTATGCATATATTCTAATGTATAAATGTACAATGTTTAAATAAAAGTAACCCTTTAATTAATCCTGCTCTAATTTTTCTTTTTACTCTTCAAGGGCAATACGCTGGTATCCTATTCCCGTCAAAATTAAAATATTCAATAACTGAGAGACCTTCAAGGAACTGACAGACATTGAAGCCTCTTAGGCTTACTTCTCTTCTTTTAAGAAGCCCTTAGGCCTTCCACTTCAGAGTTAAAAAATTAATATATAAAAATACATTTCTTTTCTAATTGAAACTAACTTGCTTCATGCTTTCAGTTAACAACGAAGCCGTCTGTATTGGGGTATCAGGCACATATTTCATTGTAAGTTCGACAATTAATAACGCCACTTGTCGATGCAGGTCAATCGGAAGATACAGATTGTCATTTCTGTAAAGGAAAGATTAATCATACATTAAACAATAATTTTAGATTAATAATTTGAAATTTATAATTTCAATAACTTATTGGAAAATAAAAAAAGATACGTTTAATTATCACAGAACATTTGATTAGATCAAATATTAATAAAAAAGAAATAGATAGATTCGAAACTCTTAATGATGACAGGATATTTTTATCTCTTTTCGAGATTTGCATTTTCAAAAACCTTAGAAATATTGAAATAACTCACGTGTCAAGGCCCCAATTCAAATGTGTAAGAACCAATCGAGCCAGATGACTTTCGGATGAAGTTAAAGAATGCTGATGTAACCAGGTGGACAAAATTGTCATATCTTGCTGTTGTGGCACCCATGTTCCTATCTTCAACTCAGTGAACAAATACAAACTCAACTAAAATCATTAAAAAAATTATTACATACATTTTATATATGTTATTTAAAAATATAAAAATAATAAATTAGCTTATTATTATTACAAATATTATATACTTTTTATAATTATATCTTATTTTATGTATATATTACGTATATATATATGTATTTTTTTCAAATAAGAGATATTAATAAAATAATTAAAATATAATTAAAATTGATTAGTGATAAATATGATTTCATTAATATGACATATTTAGAAAAAGAATTTACAGAGAGACAATCATAATATGAAATAAAAATCGTTATTATACCTTTCCAACTGATACAAAATTATCCTTTAATTTTTGCAGGATGTCAGATAAAAGAGTAGGATATTTGCTTGTCAAGTTCGATAAAAGCGACCTTGCATCTTTCGAACAGGATTCTTGGGTTTTCTCGCTGAGAAATCCAATCTATAATTCAATTCATTAGATTAAGTTTAATAATCAAATTTCAAAGATCAAATTTGAATTTGCAATAAAATAAGAATATTTACAAAATGTAAATTATTATAAGTTTTTTTAATTATATATAGTGCGTCTCATAGTTTTCATATTAATAAAAAATTATTTGATTAGACTTAATATTATTTATTAACATACTTGAAACAGATCAATCGTAGTTGTTCTCACAAAATCGTAGTCTTTATAGCCTCGAGCCATGGCCATATTAGCAAAAGTTGTCAGTAGAAAGTAAGACTCGTCACCGGGCATATTGCCCAGCTTTTCTTCGAATTGTTTATGAAGTTCAGGAGAATTCAGCTCTGTTTCCCAATCTGCAATATTAAATCATTGTTAATAACATACTTTACAAAAGGAATAAAAATATAAAGGTCAACAAAATTGTATAACTAATAAAAAGGGACATACTTTGCAATGTTATTATTATTTTATCATAGTTTACCTGAAACTGATGTATTTGATATTGCTGCGTCACTAGATGCACAATCAGAATGCAGGATGTAGAAGATGTACCACAGAGTAGTGGAAGATATAATATGGTATGGTATCGCGGCAAGATATTGCCAGGCACCTAGACGTCGTGACGAGAATATACAGAGGATCGCTCTCAGGAAAAAACAATCGTATTCGGTCTGCAGTTTCAGCAGCATCAATTCATCAATTATCTAAACGAAATTAATGTTAAAGTAACAAAATATCCGATAAATTAAAAATTTAAAAAAAAACTAATACTTATTTGACTTTTTAGTAAATTGAAACAAAATAGGCAAATAAAAATAAAAAGTATCACGCCTTTTGATTGCTTAACTCAATGTAAATTGTAGAATTCTGCAAATTTACAGACTGTAATTTCACATACTTGACTCTTGTCAAAAGCCTCCCACTGATCGCTGGTATACTGAACAACGTCTCTGATCAACGCGCTCAGTCTCTTTGCTAATTGCCGATATCTTGGCGAGTCGTAGGACTTCAGACCTTGCTTCAAAAGTTTGACGAGTACGCTGTGAAATGCGAAAAGACGCAACATGTGATGGTCCGTAATGGCCTTCTCCCCCTGTTCGTATTTGTCGTTTTGGCACTGAATAAACAGCACTTGCTCGAACAACTTATCGAATGGAATCTGATGAAGAAGAGAAATCAAATCACTCTCGAAGAGATTGGCTCCGACATTGGCGATATCTTCGTCCTCCTCGCCCTCTTCATCCAGCATCACCCACACTGTATCTCCCGGACTGCTTGTGGTATCCTGTAAGGATACTTGCACCTGCGTAGCAAGTTTAGTTGAAAATATGAGAATAATTTAAGAAGTTAAAACATCCTGCTTAATCATGGTGTCTGGCGATATCTGATTAGTCAATTCAAGGATAATTCCAGGACATTCCAGGTAAAAGTTCTGGTTTTTCCAGATCGATTAATTTTCATTATTTATAATTAATTTTTATTAATTTGCACAATATTATATGTTTTGTACTCATAAAATAGAATTCTATATGACAAATCAATTAAAATGTAAACAAATTTAGAACAATATTATTTATTGC